ATCAAAAGCAGACAGCATCAGTGGCACACTTACTCAAGCAGCACAGACACACGTAGTGTGTCTTTCTACCAATTTTATAGCACTTTCAAAGTGCTATAAAATTATAGTTATGGCACAGTGGTCTATTTCACCAGTATAACTTACAATCTAATATCACATTTACATTGCTGCACAAACTGGTGGTGGTAGTTGATTAAAGTAGCTATGAAACATGTTTTTTTTTTTTTTTTTGCATTTAGAAATGATTCTGTTTTAATTAGTTTTGCATCTCAAATCTGTTTATCTTCTCCATCCTTTATGAAGCCACTTCATGTCATAATGTACATTCTCCAGCTGTGGCGTCATGTCATTTCTCAGGTGGGGGTTCCTGATGGTGTATATGCTTGTGCACAGGGGTGGACTGACAACTCATGGGGCCCCCAGGCAATAGGGAATCATGGGGCCCCTGTGTCCTTGCCCAAACTCAAAAAAGCCTATGAAAAAAGGTACCAGGGGCCCCTGGTTGGATATAGCTCAACCTTCAAGATTTGATCAGTCCCTTCTGTCGATATAAGAATGGATTCTGCTGTGATCGCCCCGGAGCCCTCCTTCCCCCCTTCTTCTTCCTTTTTTTTTTTTGATGTTGTTGTCTGTGTCTTTCCACTGTTTGTCCTCTTTTATCCTTCTGTCCAATCTGTCTTTTAAACATATTTTACGGTTTGTGTTTGCTGTTTTCTGGGTTACATCTGCAATACTATCTTTGCAACCTAGATCTCTTTATGAATCCAAGTTTAGAACATGTATCATTCTTTGGAGGGGTCTTTTTCTGTGCCTCTCATGTTTTCTATAATGTTGATGCTGTAAAACAATTTCATTTAGAGTCTTCATTGTCGGTGAACCACAAAGGTTTGCTTATTGTTCTCTTCCCATTCCCTTCCCACATCCTTTTCTAAAAGACTCTTATGTAAACATTTCAGTTTATGCCTCTATCAATGTATACCTTGAAAAGGCTTCCACTTGCCCAGTACAATTTATATTTGCTGGTCATTGAACTTGTATTCCGAATGTCTGTTTTTTTCTTTGCTTAACCCTCAATAAAACTCTTTGTAAAAGAAAAAAGGTACCAGGGGCATCTCATGGGGCCCCCTACTGACCCTGGGCCCTCGGGCAGTGCCCGAGTTTCCAAATGGTCAGTCCGCCCCTGCTTGTGCAATGAGCATCAGCACAGCTGATAATAGTTTTCACTAGAAGGGCTTGTCACAAGGCGACAACAAAGCTAGGGAGACAGAGATAGAGCATTGTCACCCCAACTGCCTGAACAAGGTCCTTCATGGCAGGATTACCAGCTAGTGTTTTAATGAAAGCTGCAGATTTAAATAGATTGGACATGACCTTTAAAACATGTTAAAGATTATAGAAAGTGTTAGTGATTACGTTTAGATTTTTTTAAAAAAAGTAGAACTTTAGATTATTTTAAAGCCCAGCACTGTAAAAAAAATCATACAAGAAAGCTTTTGCTGCAATACTCAACACCCAACCAGTGCTGTCACCAACAGACTCACTGCTTCTCTTCCAGGATAACTAACAACCAATGTAATTGAACACATTATCTTTAAGCCTAGTCATAGGCACACTCCCAGGGGGTTTGTAACCGCATCAACTGGTGCTACAGTACAATACTGTAGAGAGCAGTCCCACTTTCTGAAGTGTTAAAGCAGGTGAATGTTGGTGCATGGAAAAGATGACTCCGGGATGTCACATGACCAGCCAGAAGACACTTGTATGTAAGGTATGTATAAAGAAAAATGTAAAAACTTGCAGAGGGTAAGGGTTTAAAGGGATTCTAGAGGTAGCTTTTTAAAATTAAAATAAAAAAGATATGATACTTACCTGCTTTAATAGCATTGCACAGAGCAGTCTCTTACCTCCTTTTCTGGGGTACCCAACTAAAGCTGTCCACTCCTCTTTTCTGAGTGCCACCTGAGCAAAGTGTGTGCCGAGGGGACACTCGTGCAGGCGCTGTCCCTATCTAGATTGTGTGCATCCATAGACACACTCAGCGTGGCATGGCCACACCCCCTCCACTCCCTTCTCACAGGATTTGACTGTGAGACCAGGAAGAGACAGCTGCAGTTCTGTGGACAGTCGACTGTCTGGAGCGCTCAGGTAAGTGTTTGGGTGGGGGAAGTTAGTGGTTTGTTTTACCTTAATGCAGGGAATACATTAAGGTAAAAAAACAATTAGAATTTTAAACCACTCTAATTTACTTCATTTTTGTTTTAAAGAGACCTTGTCACCAACTTAAAACAATTACAGAAAAAGCACAGAAAAATCAAGTATTATAAGTGCTTCGTTGCAGTGTCTTTCCTTTTCATAAATCATTTTTGTATTCAGTTGCGATCTGGCTTTCAACTTGCTGGAAAATTTGACTATCCAGTTCCCTACATTGAGACATGTATAGACATAACGGCAGTTGTTTTACTTATTTTAGTCTGCTGCTTCCTGCAGAATCATTTCGGAGAGGAAGTCCCAGTCCTCTCATATTTAATATATTAGTACAATTTTCAGGAACTTTGCTTGTCACACATTGTGAACATCTGTGGTCACAGAAGATTATTTTGCATTATAAGTGTTGTTTAATGATGCCACAAAATTAGGTATTGAAAGTTACAACCACCATTTCTCACGAGATAGATGTCAAAGTGGTGTCCAGAAAACATCTCTCTGTCATGCAGCTAACATAATCTCATTTGGTAGCAATCAAGCAGCTTTGGATACAGGCAAGTACCCCTTGATAGAGTTAGAACCTCTGTCAGATGTTTATTATTGTCCGTGTCTCCATAGGGGAGATCCACAATCACAAATTATCATCATGACTTTTAGAGATGAAGTTTGGGTTTGCCGCTACCATGGGTTTGATTTGAACCCTGCAGGTTCAAGATTTGCCATCCCAGCTAACTTACATATGTGCTGCCCAGGAGATTTGTTTTCTAAACCACAATGAAAAAACAAGACTAGATCTAACCCAAAAGAATAACCGGACTTATATCGGCATAGCATGAGAGACACTGCTCATATAAAAACATACATTTTATAACAAAATATAAAAACAAGTATACAGTGAAATATGAAATACAGAACAAATCCCCCAGAAAACCAGAGTGACGAGAAGTTCCCTGAATGCATAACTCTCAAAAATATTGTATAGCACTACCGTCTTAGGAGACGCTAGAAAATTTGGGTCCCCCTATAGCCCTGCACAGCCAGGCATCACACATCTTCACCAGGATTTGCATCCAGAGCCAGAAATCAGTCCTTGAGCTTTGGATTTGTTGTTTTATTTAGGGAATTTGTACTGGGATAGTGTCATAGGCAGGTGACTGCCACGGTCAGGGACGTAGTCAAGGTGAGCCAGTGAGACAGCAGTGTGGTCAGGAGGCAGGCTGCGGTCAGTACCAAGTTAGCAAGCAGAGCAACGTCCAGTGGCAAGCCAAGGTCAGCACCAGGAGATCAGCCAGAGAATAGTCAGAGCCAAGCCGAGGTCAGAATCCAGAATCCACAGAGCAAGGTCAGAAGAAGCTAGGTCAGCAATGGAAGATCAGCCAGTATAAACAGGAACACAGATCACAGGAAGCTGAAGAATTAGCATGAGCTGCACTACTTTCCTGACAGATAGGGTTAAGGGTGTACAGGATGCCCAAAGGAACTGATGAACTGAGGACAACTTCCTGGAACTATTTACAAGCCTTCACTGCAACACAGTCTTGGTTGGAGAGCTAGCCAGCATCTCCTAAATGTACCACCCCCGACCCTATATGAACTCCGCTTCTTCATCTAGAAATCTGGAGGTATCCCTGAACAGAATCCAATTCCTGTCATTTTAAGTGCTAGACAGTCCCAAGTAGGTAGCAAATCTGGTTTCCCACCAGAGTGCTCCTTCCCTTATCTTCCCAGGGGGTGCGGGGGTACTCACTCAGATCCTCTCCTGTACCATTGGTGGGTTGGCAGCTGCTTTCAGGCCTATCAGCTGGACCTCCTTTGTGCTTTCCTCCTTTACAGCTCCAGGCCTGCAAGTAGGCCTCCTCACAGCCTCCTATCTTCAGCCCCTGCCATACAGGTGGTCCTTGCTCTGAGGGGCCAGTGAGCTCTGTGCTTTCCTCCTTTACAGCTCCAGGCCTGAAAGTAGGCCTCCTCACAGCCTTCTATCTTCAGCCTCACATCTTCCTCGCTATCTTCCACACAAACTCTCCTGTAGGCTCCAACACCTTGCCACTTGTCAAGCCTCCTGTTGGGGATTGGTTAGGATCCCTCAAGTGTGCAAGCCAGACACTCCTTAGACCCACCCACTGCCTCTAGGCCTTACTCCAAAGCTCTAGAGTAGGGGGAAATTCCAAAGCGGCTGGCTTGCAGAGCCTCTCAGCTCCTGACCACAATTTGACCCTCTGACTAAATGTATCTGAACTTTTCTAAATACATATAGTAACTTTCCAATATACCCAAACAGTATACATAAATATCCCAAAGAAAAATGTGCCACAAAAATTGAACCAATATAAATGTCCAAAAAATATAAATGTCCAAAAAATATAATAAATGTCCCAAAAAAATGTCCCAAATGTCTCTGTACAAATATTTTTCAAACTCCAAAGTGGACTCGTATCACTCTTTGATCATCCAGTGTAGAAATTCCAAAAATCCTTGTGAACCTCAAAAATATAAACTTATGATAGTGTATTACCCTTTGACTAAATCCAAAAACAGTGAAAATAGTGTATCATGCACACTGCATAACGTGCATACTCTACTCACACGTGAGGAGAAGGAAAAAAAAATATATATAAATATATTTGGTCTGGCTACACAATCTGGTGTTGTATATACTATATCCTTTACCTTGTGTAATGCACTTTTGCCTTCTATGGAGTAGGGAAGTGAACCTTCTCTTTTTGTTATTACAGAAGTGGAAGAAAGTATGGGGAGTTTTGTATGGAGCTACACCCACAGGATTGGCCCGATTAGAGATGTACGAGGGTTTTCAGGCCCCCGAGATTGGCCGCAAGCAAGAGTGCTGGAAGTTACTTCAGCTCAGTGAATGTGTGAGCTTATCAGAGCGCCCTAATGAGAGCGGCCCAAAGGACACCCGGGTCTTCAGCATCGAGACTACTCAGAGGGTATACCTTATTGCCAGTGAGGCCTCCGAAGAGCCAAATTGGGTGAGGGCACTCTGCGGCTTGGCATTTCCTCAGGTAAGACCTAGACCCAGCAAGCATGTCAAAATGGCAGGGGTTAGGTAGCATGCATCTTTTTTCTTTCTACTTTGTATGTTTGTGTTGTCTGTTTGTACTTTGAATGTTCTTGTAGTGTCTTCTGAGAATGGAGTTCATTCTTTTAGGTGCTGTGTTATTAGCAAGTATTTTCTATTACTGGTTTGCTTTACTAAACCTCACTTCCATGCTTTACCATTAACCGCTTCCCAAATATTGCTACATGGCGGCACGGATGCACAAAATCACGTATATATACAGTACGTGAATGTGCATTTCCAGGAAGGGGGTACGCGCAAGTCACGCACACTACCCACACCACCATTCACGGCCACAGCTGTCAATCACCGGTTCCCAGACGGTGATTACCCACCAGAGCGATTACCGAGCATCTCCGATGGGGTGGAGGACTGTTTTGTTTACAGTTCTCCTCCCTGTCAGCTCAGGCACACTGCTCTGGATGGCTGTGCACAGAGCAGGGTGATTACAGTGAGGCACGCAGACACCGTCCCCTAGTAAAACACTCCATGCACACAGTTATCCCTTTGATCGCCCCAGATGTTAACCCTTTCCTGCCCAGTGCCATTAGTACAGTGTCAGTGCTTTTTTTTAGCACTGATCACTGTATTGGTGTCACTGGGGATGTCAGTGACACCAACTCAGTTCCCCCCAGTGTCAGAATGTCCGCTGCAGTCCCGCTATTAGTCGCTGATTGCCGCCATAAATAGCAGGAAAAAATTAAAAGGTTCCAGTTCCAGTAAAATTCCAGTATCACAGATGGGGGAAAGACCTGTATGTAAATAATACAGATCTCTCCCTTGTCATCTCCAGCACACTGCTTTGTATGGCTCTGCATTGCAGAGCCATACAAAGCAGTGTTCTTACAGTGTAAAGCACACACACAGCACACAGTTATCCCTTTGATCGCCCCCAGATGTTAACCTCTTCCTGCCCAGTGTCATTAGTACAGTGTCAGTGCTTTTTATTAGCACTGATCACTGTATTGGTGCCACTGGGGATGTCAGTGACAGTTAGTCAGTTCCCCCCCAGTGTCAGAATGCCTGCCGCAGTCCCGCAGTTGCTGATCGCCACCATTACTAATATAAAAAAATATATTTTTTTAAATTTCAGGAAATATACTGCCATTTGTAAACACTATAACTTTCATGTAAACCAATTAATTTACACATATTGGGATTTTTTTTCTAGCAAAGACATGTAGCAGAATACATTTTGAACTAAATTTATGATGAAATTAGATTTTTAAAATTTTGTCATGTTTAAAAGCAAAAAGTCAAAAATATTTTTTTCTCAAAATTGTCGGTCTTTTTTTTTATAGCACAAAAAATAAACACACAGGCGATCAAATACCACCAAAAGAAAGCTCAATTCGTGGGAAAAAAAGGATGTAAATTTAATTTGGGTGCAGCATTGCATGACCGTGCAATTGTCAGTTAAAGTAGCGCAGTGCCGTAACGCATAAAAATGGCCTGGTCAGGAAGGGGGGTAAATCCTCAGGAGGGCAAGTGGTTAATCTAACCCCTAAACTTGATCCTTAAAGTGTTATTAAACCCAAAAAAAAAAATATTTAATTTATTGCAGCTTATCAATTCTTAAGCAGGCCATGCATATAGTTAAATACATAGTTACATAGTTAGTCTGGCTGAAAAAAGACAAAAGCCCATCCAGTTCAACCATTAAAAAAAAAAGTTATAATGCAATACCCACAGTTGATCCTGAGGAAGGAAAAAAAAACAGCAAAGCATGATCCAATTATGATGATGATCCAATAAAAATTCCTTCCTGATCCCCCGAGAGGCAATCGGATATTCCCTGGATCAACTTTCCCCATAAATGTTAGTATCCAGTTATATTCTGTGTATCTAAGAAGGAATCCAGGCCTTTTTTAAAGCAATCCACTGAGCTGTCCAGAACCAACTCTTGAGGGATAGTCTATTCCACATTTTCACAGCTCTCACTGTGAAGAAACCTTTCCATGTTTGGAGATTACATTTCTTTTCCTCCAGACATAAAGAGTGCCCCCTTGTCCTTTGTGATGACCTCAGGGTGAATAGCTCTACACCGAGTTCACTATATGAACCACTGATGTATTTATACATGTTGATCATATCCCCCCTTAATCTCCTCTTCTCAAGAGAGAATAAATTCAGTTCCTCTAATCTTTCCTCATAGCTGAGCTCCTCCATGCCTCTTATCAGTTTGGTTGCCCTTCTCTGTACTTTCTCCAGTTCCCCAATGTTCTGAATTGGTGCCCAAAACTGAACTGCATATTCCAGATGAGGTCTTACTAATGATTTGTACAGGGGTAATATGATATCTCTCTCTCTGGAGTCTATACCTCTTTTAATACAAGAGAGGATTTTGCTCGCTTTAGAAACTGCAGCTTGGCATTGCATGCCATTATTAAGCTTGTGATCTGATAGAACCCCCAGATCCTTCTCCACCATTGATTCCCCCAGTTGTACTCCCCCTATTATGTATGTTGTATGCATATTCTTAGCCCCCCGAGTTCATAACCTTATATTTATCAACATTAAACCTCATTGAATGCATGCATGATTCATTTTCTTTCATTCAACCATCTTGAATGTGTGGACGGGGGATGTTCAGTGTTTCCGGCTATATTATAAATATTATGCTTTTCCCATTTGTTTGTATTAGTTTCATGTGCATGTATTTACATATGCTTTTTCAGTTTATGTGAAGCTTATAGAGGAATTTGAGTTCCTTAGCATTGCTCTTGACAATTTAGGTGAATTTCACAATCGATTGGAGGTATTTATTGTAATTTTATTAATTTTTTCTTTCATGTGTTTTTATGCATTTATTGGTATATATAAGGTTGTGTTGGATGTCTCACACATTTATTGGATTATATAATTTTGCACATTTTTATTTAGTGCTACACACATTAGTAGTTATGCTGCACTTTTTGATATTGATTTCGATTGGTGTCTGAACACACATTGATTAGCTGCAACACAATAATAAATATTTTTTTCTGATAGTGTAGTACATGTAGCTTTCATTCAGGAAGGTCCATTTGTTCCAAAATCAAATGTTGAAAGCAAACAAAATTGTTAAGTACTTTGGAACAACATTAATCAAGTCATCGAATGTACTAAGAATTTTTTATACAAATTTTTGTACAAACATTGTACAACAACCCTGTACAATACAACTGAACAACCCAAAAGAATAATTGGGACTTTATCAGCAAAGAGACATTCGTATGACTAAAATCAAGATATTTATTGTTACAATAGTTTAATAACAGCGTTTAAAAGATAAATTGGCTGACAAACATCAAACACTAAATCTCATCTCTTAAAGATACATCTCTGTTATCCCACAGACCCTACTGCATGACATAATATTCAAATGAAATGTCCAAACAGGGTGAGAGATATTTCCAACAAATCCTTCTTTAGGGGAGGGAGATTATTCCTGTCTATAAATGTGAATATCTGTTTTGGAATGCCAGTAAAGTCCTATTATTATTATTTTGGGTTGTTCTGTTGAATTCTTACATCAGTCTTTGGGCTATTTAAAAACATGTTTATTTGTCTATGTAGCCAAACATAATACACATAATATATATCCAAACATAATGCACTGTTACCTATTACACTTGACTATGGTGTGCAATAATGTTCTCACATGTGTAAAATTTAATTGTTTTATTTCCTGGACTCTATCAATATTTCACCATAAGACAGACAACAAAAGTAAATCTGGTCTGCATGTCTACATGCTTACATAGCAGATTTTTACAAACATTATTTGTATTTTACTGCTAAAATCAGCAGGAAATTCCCTCCAGCCTCATGACAATCCCCTGGAATGACAAGATTGGACTATACAGTTTAGTCTGAATCAATATAACCTTTTTTTTTTTTCTTTCCTGTAACAATAAGTGTTTACTGAGTTTTGAAAGCTTAAATGATGATCAAAGGGAAACAATCTAAAAAAATGCTGCAGTCTCTAAAGCAACGATAGTTAGATATGCCAATAAAGCTTTATTAAGGGGCTTTTAAAAATGTTCTTCTTTTTTTTTTTTTAAACTTTATCAACAGGAGGTCTAGTTTTTCATTACTTGTATACAAAACCTCCTACAAATAAATATTATTTTATGTAAGTAATCAATATGTCAGGAGGGTTTCTAAAGTAAGTCCAGCTGTTCCTGCATGCTAGTTGGTAGCTTGTGTACAGAATTCTAGGTAGATCGAAAAGACATGGCGCACGCCTGGGCACGTAGGTTAAAGGAGGGGTTGTAGCATACATGGCAAAAAGTACAAAAGTTTGTAAGTTTTTTCTATTCATATGATCTCTTCTCTCTCCTTTGTCCTGTCTGTCATCTGTTGTTGCTCTTTTTTTTTTCCTTTCCCATCATTCGTTGTTCTGCCCTTTCCTGTCAGGGACCCCAAACCAAAGAATCCAGACTCACAAGAAGCACCACAAAAGTTAATTGCACTGCCACTATTTACCCCACACCTTCTATTGTATCATGCCTTAATAAACAGTATAGAAATAAGCTGCTACTTGGGATTATCTTTCAGTGGTTTCTAATATAAAAATGAATTTTGTCTAGAACAGTCCTCCTAACTCTAATTTTATACACACAATGATGTGACACAAATAAAATGCATCATCATAGCTAAACCCTTTCAAGTCCTGGGGTAATCAAAAAACCAGTGACCGGACCAAATTTTGAAGCTTTGGTATTTTTTTAAACAACTTTGCATGATTTTCACACCTTTGTTTAGCACATATGGGGTCCTCGGTTGGTAATATGTTTTTTTATTAACAGAAATATGGACAAAAGTGAAAAAAAATGTGCAATTTCAGTTTGCTTATTGGATAACATTAGGGACAGGTCAAGGCAGAGGCAGAAGAAGCATCTGCATTGGGTACCATTCTGCATGGGATGCATCTGAGATTGGAGCCTCTCCTGCCTCTGCATCACCCAGCTATGTCCTGCACTGTTCTAGGCTGAGCTCAGTCCTGCAGATTTCATCAGGAGAGGGTGTCTTTCCCTGTTTAACCAGCAGCACTCTGCTGTCAATGTGACAGCTGCCTGCTCTTTAAAGAGAGCTCTGAAGATTACGCAGGGAACGCTGTGCTCTCTCAACATGGAGCACTGTTACAGAATGTAGGCAGAAAAGAGGGAGAAAATGCCAAAGATTGGTGTGTTTGTCTTGGGTAAAAGCTTCAAATGCTACAAAAGAGACCTGAGGCACTTAGAAGAAGACCTGGGACACATGGGTGCCAGGGTCAAGGAACAACCCTCTTACCAAGCAGTCTCATTTTTACTAGTGGGGATGGTGATGTGTTCCTCCTCCAAGTCACTCAGCAGTCAGTGCAGCCCCATTTTTAGCAGTCTACACAATTTGTATACAAATTGTACACGTCCCTAAAACAGTTCAGAATTACAATCATACAAAATGTATAATAGACACAACTTTAGATAGTCAAATGCCAGAAGTACAACACAAGTTTGTGCAAAATATTTTGCCAGGTTACAATGACATATTTCCAGTGTGTGAGTATAACCTGCGCAGAGGACTGATCAATTAGACTGGCTGCTGCTAGCAAAATCACAAATGTGTACCGGTGAACAAATTTGTGAGTGCAAACATAAAAATTGCTGCGCTGCCTCTCCCAAAAACTACTTTAAATAATTCAATAAATGAATGAACTCCATACTACACAAAGGGTTCCCACAAATGTGCATGTGCTATAATGCCCTGTGGGCTGGCAATTACATCCCTCCTCTACAGTGACTAAATCTTAAATAAACCAATAAGTAAATACAAGGTGCTTAAATGACAATAGTGCACAAAAAAAATAGCACATATACAATGCAATGAAACTATGTATACAGTGAAATTGTATAAAACGATATATATATATATTAAAGTCCCAATAATTGTGCAAACATATAAAAGTTACAAAAAAATTGAAAGTTCCAAAAAAACCCCAATGAAATCCCCATCCTCACCCGGTGTGAATATTAAGTGATACAGTAGTAAATCTTCTTATCCATAGCAATTTTCTGTGTGTAGTGCTCCAATTAGTGCTCCCCCTCCAGAGCCCCACTCACCACAGATAATTGACCACCTGGAATGGTAGCTCAAATATCGCATGTGATGTTGCAGTGCTCTCCTGCAGGAAAGTTGGCCGTCTGTGTGGTCTTGACACCTCTATACACTGATGACAGACTCCATAGTGGAAACACCTCTAGATCAATTGTTTGCGACAAAACTCCTCCAGAACCTCCACAGTACTCCTCCACCACTGTAAAAACATCAAAGGGAAACTTCAATAGCTTAACACTGTATTTATTAGATAAAAAAACTATTAAAATTGCACTTACATAAAAACCATGTGTATGGCACTTTAAATCCCAGCAAAAAGCAATTCCTTTTCAGAGGACAAGTGTAGCGCTATCAAGCCCCGCTCTACATGTTTCATCATATGACGTCATCAGAAGCGCCTCACAACCAATGGACCCCAATACTCCCGTCTATGTTGTAAAGAGCCAACTATCAAAGCTCACTTATCAGTGTATGCAGCTTCACATGCAATATCCCCCTACTGTAGTTCTGCTTCAGCTCACTTGCAGTAATCTATCCAACTAGTTGTGGGGGAGCAAGGCCCAGTACATCCAGACAGCGGTCTATTTTAAGAATCGCAGCTGGACCACCAGGCAGATCTTGGTTTTCGCATAGATTGCTAACCTACTGAAATATTCATCTACAATATTCCATTTTTCTAAACATTTAAAAAGCAAAGACTACTTTTAAAAACTGTTTTTTTTTTTAGTAATGAACATAGTAAATAGAATATAATAAAACTACTATATATCCATAAACAAAAAAAAAGTTTCAATTTCAGTAGCTGGAATATTGGCTAATTCAGATATTAGATGATCTCTTAAAGCATATACCCAGAAATTGTTGTTGGTTCCCATTCTGCTTTAAGATTGTTAGAACTCAGTAGGACCCATGCTGTAGCCAGTGTAGAGATTTAAAAGAGAAGTTCACCTTTCGTAACATGTTACATGTTACATGTTATACTCATATTTAGGGTATAACATGTTGTGAAAGCACTGGCCCCCACTTCTAGGGTTGCCACCTCATCCCTTTAAAACAGAACACATATTTATTACATATTTATTACACAGGTTTATTACACAGTTTCTGAGGCTAGTTTAAGGTGGTAATTCAACTCACGTAGTGTCTTATATGCATTAATCAGCCGCAGAACCTCTGTAATTAATATGTGTTCTTTTTTAAAGGGATGAGGTGGCACCCCTACCCGCTCCCCCTAGCTGTCAAATTTAAAAGGAATGTGGCCATGTGGGGCTCTGCCCGCCTGGCCATGTCACTCATTCACTGTGTTCTGTGAATGAGAAACTAGCGGCTGTGGGCTTGGTAGTTCATTGAATCTTCCTGTCAGTATATCTGCTTGCTCATACATCCAGTACGGTCAAGCAGATATACTGAGAGATCTGCAGGAGACCTTCATGGCACCAGTGACCTACTGATCACTGTGCAATGCTTTACAGGCTCCTGCAGCAAAAAAAAAAAAATAGTTTTTTTATCATTTTGTACCGAAAGGTGAACTTATCCTTTATTGTAACAGGCAGGACTTTTTTTCAGGGAACGCATGCACCTCCAGCACTAAATTTATGTAATGACAAGGGATGCTGGGGTGTGCTGGAGGGTCTAATGATGCTGACTGCTGGCGATCTATTGTTGCAGGGGGTCTATTGTGTTGGGGAGGTCTATTGATGCTGGTGGGAGATCTATTATTGCTGGGTAGCCATTTGTTGATGGGATGAATCTACTTTTGAGAGAGGGGTCTATTTATTGCTGATTTCTGGAGGATCTATTAATGCTGGCTGATGGGAGATCCACTGTTGCTAGGATGGATCTATTGTTGCTGGGAGGGGGGTGATAGTAGGGATCTATTGTTGCTGGTGGGGGTATATTGTTTCTGGCTGCAGAGGATCTGTTTTACTGCTTTTCTTGCTATCATTAACAAATTCTGTACACATTACTTAGCACCCCAAAATGATACAGTACTTGGTTCTGTATTATCTGAAAGGGTGGTACTGGGAGGGGGTGGAACAAAGAATATTGCTCGGAGGTGGGTAGGGGGCAGGATGACTTGGAAAGGGAGTGTTCCCACATCTATTGTCTGAGAAAAAAAAAGCCCTTGTAACAGGTCTTAAGTTGGCTAAAGACGGATTGAAATTCCATTAGTATGTGGTGTCAGTCATTAGTTTGACTTCTGTTGAACGAACAATTCAAAAAACTTCTGTTGATCAGCGGCTGCAGCCACTGATCTGTGTGTGCTGACTGTACTGGGTCCTGCTGTCAGAATACAATATCCTGGTGGGGAGAAGGGAGAAGGCTTCTGTACTTCATCTCACTTTTTTAATGGAGGAATGTGTTTTTTTTTTTCCTTCAGCCCGCTGGCTAAAAAAAAACAAAAAACTCATCTATGGCCAGTTTTAGTTTTGATACAAGGTGCTGTTAGAGTCAAACACAACTACTTGAACTTCTTGGAGAGTTTTACTAGTATAAACAGTTTAAACATTTGAAATACAATTAATCATCTGATAGTTTACATCTGATTACATACCAACCAATCCTTTCTTTCCTTTTCTACATTTGGTAATTTTTGTCTATAGCACCTTTCTCCCTGGGGACTGAAAGTACTTAGAAGGTGAGATAGCCATCTTGGGCCCACTCAAAAAGTCAATGAAAAGACTAGCATGTCTTTGGAGTGAGGAAGGAAACCTACATAAGGATAGCATGCAAACTTCATGCAGGTAGTGTTCTGATTGGGATCCAAACCAAGGACCAGGGGCGGACTGGCAACTCATGGGGCCCCTGGGCAATAGGGGATCATGGGGCCCCTGTGTCCTTGCCCAAACTCAAAAAAGCCTATGAAAAAGATACCAGAGGCATCTCATGGGGCCCCCCACTGACCCCGGGCCCTCGGGCAGTGCCCAAGTTTCCAAATGGTCAGTCCACCCCTGCCAAGGACCCTCATGCCTCATGCTTCAAGGCAGAAGTGCTAACCACCGAGCCACTGTGCTGCTCCTTTAAAAAAAAAAGACAGTTTAGGACCCAATTCTAATTTGGGCAACATATAAAAAAAGCACCCCCCCCAGCAGCAAATTCTGCCTGCTTAATTCACCCGCAGACTCATCCACCCAAAGGTACTGTACAACTATTCTTCTGGGTTGAATCATGCCCAGCCTCAATCAACCCGCTTCCTGTGAGCCCAAGGTGTCAAGGCTCTGAGCCTTCCCTTGAACCATTACTCTGTGCAGCAATTAGGATCTGCCCAGAAAAAGAAGGCGAGAGGAAAAAAGAGGGTGAAGAGGACCTGTGACATCACTGGTCTGAAGACACCAGAACAAAAGGTATGTATACAGATTTTTGAAAGGGGTGTGGGGGTACTCCAATGGGGAGTGGGGTGCAAGGAAAGGGGATTCCAAGTCAAGAGTTGGGTTTAAATTCTCATTGGTGGCTCGAGGCAACAGAGAAAGATCCTCAGTATTTGTAAGTTATTACCATTGTGGGAAAACTTTTGTTGTCAAGGTGCAGTTCTGGTTAAACAGACAAAATTCTGTGCAGTTACAAAGCTCTCTTTGATTCCAGGAACGGCGGACTCTTGAGAGGTTAGGCAGTCAGCCCTTGCCTTCAGAAAGTCTACAGCTGCAAGAAAACTCCCTCTACAGCACAAGCCAGGAGGCCGTACCAGGTAAGAATAATTCCTTCTTATAGAAATGAGAACTGGACACATCAAAGGAAAGCTTCACTTTCCTTACAAAATATCATTTATATTGCTACAAAAGTCATTTTATACTTTAATGTTAGCTTTCTGTTTCATTTGCAGCCTGGGATGTGAATTTCCTAAAACTGATGAAATGTATTTCAATTTTGTTTTTATTTTTGAATGTGGCAACAGTAAATTTTTAGTCTGGAGCTGGATCCACCTAATTGTGTAATTGGCACTCTTCCACAAAACTGCACAAAGCTTGAGGTCAAATTTCAGCATCCACAGCAATTCCTTTACATTTACTGCTATGAGATACTTGTCAAGAGTGCTATGCATTTAAAGTTATATGTTGTCGTCCCTGGTTCCTTCTTTCCCCCTTTTTCAACATGCTAATGAATTTTTCAAAGAAAACCATTATGTTTTTATTGTATACCTTAGTTTTATGCTAGTGATGTCATCACTGGGTCTCTGTGCTTCTCTCTGCAATGCAGGCAGATGATAGATGGTTGGGTCACTGGCAGGGTTCTGTACATAGCTTGCTGAAAACATGACAACACCCTGCCTCAGTGCTCCTTTGGTAATGTCCACATGTGATGATGAGCCTCAATGATTAAAGCCACTGAATTCCAAGCACAGGCAATGAGCAGTAAGGCCTGGTTCACACTATTGAAGCTCTGCGACACGTGTTTTTGGGCCAGCATCCATTTGAATGGGCTGCTGTGCTGCACCATATTTAAAACATAGTGGCAGGGAAATCACGTGGTGTTCTTGCACCATGCGATTTCCTGGCGATTCCCGCACCCGCAAATGTGCTGCATTTTTAAATGTGTAAATGAATAAAGTGCAGCGCTATAAACGCACAAATAATATGAAAATATATATATGATAATTCTAATAAAATATATAAATGCAGAATAATAAAGTGCTATTAAGTGCAATTGTGCATATAAGTGAATCAATAAATGTTCGTAATATGTCAAAGATCAAATCAGCAAAAAATAGTCCTCAGGTTGATTTGCAATACATTCAAGTGAAAAAAGTGAAGATGTGCATATATTCAAGGAGGGAATCCACCATCTCAGATGGGTGTACACTCACCAGAAATTATATGTTAGCAGGCATTAGACTATCACATCTGGGTGCAGGAACAGAGAAGCAGCTTAGGGGTTAATCCTCCAGCATCATCCATGTACAGGTGGGGCGAGTATCCCTTGTCCTGGGAAAGATAGCTCAACCACATGAGCCAGAAATGCTAATATACAGTGAAGAACAGAAGTATTTGAACACCCTGCGATTTTGCAAGTTCTCCCACTTAGAAATCATGGAGGGGTCTAAAATTCACGTTGTAGGTGCATTCCCACTCTGAGAGACAGAATTAAAAAAGAAATTCAGGAAATCACATTGTATGATTTTTAAAGAATTTATTTGTCTTGCACTGCTGAACATAAGTATTTGAACACCTGGGAAAATCATTGTTAATATTTGGCACATTTTTTGTTTGCAATTCCAGAGGTCAAACGTTTCCTGTAGTTCTTGACCAGGTTTGCACACACTGCAACAGGGATTTTGGCCCACTCCTCCACACAGATCTCCTCTAGATCTGTCAGGTTTCGGGGCTGTCGCTGAGCAACACGGAGTTTCAGCTCCCTCCAAAGATGTTCTATTGGATTTAGGTCTGGAGACTGGCTAGGCCACTCCAGAACCTTGATATGCTTCTTACGGAGCCACTCCTTGGTTATCCTGGCTGTGTGCTTCGGGTGGTTGTCATGTTGGAAGACCCAGCCACGACCCATCTTCAATGCTCTGACTGAGGGAAGGAGGTTGTTGCTCTAAATCTCACAATAAATGGCCCCATTCATCCTCTCCTTAATACAGTGCAGTCGTCCTGTCACCTTCGCAGAAAAGCACCCCAAAAGCATGATGTTATCACCCCCATGCTTCACAGTAGGGATGGTGTTCTTGGGATGCAACTCATCCTTCTTTTTCCTCCAAACACGACGAGTGAAGTTTAGACCAAAAAGTTCTACTTTGGTCTCATCTGACCACATGCCTTTCTCCCATGCCTCCTCTGGATCATCCAGATGGTCATTGGCAAACTTCAGACGGGCCGGACAGGTGATGACTTCAGCAGGGGAACCTTCCGTGCAATGCATGATTTGAAACCATGACGGCGTAGTGTTCTACCGACAGTGACCTTTGAAACTGTGGTCCCAGCTCTCTTCATGTCATTGACCAGCTCCTCCCTTGTTGTTCTGGGCTGATTCCTCACCTTTCTTATCATCAGTGATACCCCACGAGGTAAGATCTTGCATGGAGCCCCAGTCCGAGGGAGACTGACAGTCGTCTTTAGCCTCTTCCATTTTCTAACAATTTCTCCAACAGTTGATCTATTTTCACCAAGCTGCTTGGCAATTGGCCCGTAGCCCTTTCCAGCCTTGTGGAGGTCCACAATTTTGTCTCTGGTGTCTTTTGACAGCTCCTTGGTCTTGCCCATGGTAGTAGTTGGCGTCTGACTGTGGGGTGGACAGGTGTCTTTAAAGAGCTCAGACAGGAGCTACTAAGTTAGATTGATGAGTGGAGTAGAGGTGGACGTGTTAAAGGCACAGTAACAGGTCTTTGAGAGCCAGAATTCTTGCTGTTTCTCAGGTGTTCAAATACTTATGTTCAGCAGTGCAAGAAAAATAAATTCTTTAAAAATCATACAATGTGATTTCCTGAATTTTTTTTTTTAATTCTGTCTCTCAGAGTGGGAATACACCTACAATGTGAATTTCAGACCCCTCTATGATTTCTAAGTGGGAGAACTAGCAAAATCGCAGGGTGTTAAAATACTTCTGTTCCTCACTGTAGTGTAGTATTTATTATTCATATATCGGTTTACATGTATTAAAAACGTTCCACGTGGAGTAAGGTAAAAAAAAAAAACAGGTACTAACAGGGGTGGACTGACAACTCATGGGGCCCCCGGGCAATAGGGGATCATGGGGCCCCTGTGTCCTCGCCCAAACTCAAACCACACCCAAAAAAGCCTAAGAAAAAAGGTACCAGGGGCATCTCATGGGGCCCCCTAGTGACCCTGGGCCCTCGGGCAGTGCCCGAGTTCCCAAATGGTCAGTCCGCCCCTGGGTACTAAGATGGCCGCTGCTCCGTTCCTCGGCAGCGTGACGTCAGCAATGCAGGCTCCACCCTTTTTTTTAAATGTGTGACAGCCCCATGCGTTTCTAAAAAGCAGTGCATTTTGCCTGTTGGTGAGGGAACAGGTGTGATTCCCGCAACCACCCACAATATTGTAAACCCAGCCCAATGCTTGCCATACACTGATAGATTTTTTAATTTATCATGCAGACTGGTTTAAAATAATCCTCTGGTGATGAATTCACAGTGCTGGCTACTGTAATCTGTCAGCCAGCACTGGCAGCTCTGAGAATACCTGATTAGCGGCTGCATCTGATTGGACAATATTCCAACAATATTCTGCCCAACTCTTTCTATTGAAAAATGTCAGTTTTTCAATCAAAGGATGTTGGGAGGGAGGGTGCAAACATGAAACGTATTTCATCTGGCTTATCAGGAAGGAAAATTTTGCTCAGTGTATGGACAGCTTAAAGGGAAACTTCATTTTTTCAATCAACATGGACTATTTTAACCATTTGCCCTCCAGAGGATTTGCCCCCCTTCCTGACCAGGCCATTTCTTGCAATACAGCGCTGCGTTACTTTAACTGACAATTGCGCGGTCATGCAATGCTGCACCCAAATTCAATTTACGTCCTTTTTTTCCCACAAAGAGCTTTCTTTTGGTGGTATTTGATCGCCTGTGCATTTTTTTAAATTTTTTGCACTATAAAAAAAAGTGCCAATTTCTGAGAAAAAAAAAACAATATTTGTGACTTTTTGCTATTAAACATGTCCAGTAAAAAATAAAAAAAAAAATCAAATTTCATCATAAATTTAGGCCAAAATGTATTCTGCTACACGTCTTTGCTGAAAAAAAAATCCCAATACATGTAAATTAATTGGTTTATGTGAAAGTTATAGCGTTTACAAATGGCGGTATATATACACTGGAATTCAAAATAAAATTTTTTATACTAGTAATGGTGGCAATCAGCGACTGCGGGACTACGGCGGGCATTCTGACACTGGGGGGGGGAACTGACTTACTGTCACTGACATCCCCAGTGACACCAATACAGTGATTAGTACTAATAAAAAGCACTGACACTGTACTAATGACACTGGGCAGGAAGGAGTTAATATCTGGGGCGATCAAAGGGTTAGTTGTGTGCTGTGGGTGTGCTTTACACTGTAAGCACACTGCTTTGTATGCCTCTGTTATGCAAAGGCATACAAAACAGTGTGCTGGAGCTGACGGGAGAGATCTGTATTGCTTACATACAGGTCTCTCCCCCATCCACGGTGATCACCGGGTGCTGGAGGGGAATGACAGCCGAGGCCATGCATGGCGGTGCGGGTAGGCCCCCCTACCTGAAACTGCGAGACTGCGGCGGGCATTCTGACACTGGGGGGAACTGACTAACTGTCACTGACATCCCCAGTGACACCAATACAGTGATCAGTTCTAATAAATAGCACTGCCACTGTACTAATGACACTGGGCAGGAAGGGGTTAACATCTGGGCGATCAAAGAGTAAACTGTGTGCTGTGGGTGTGCTTTACATTGTAAGCACACTGCTTTGTATGGCTCTGCTATGCAGAGCCATATAAAGCAGTGTGCTGGAGCTGACAGGGAAGAGATCTGTATTGTTTACATTCAGGTCTCTCCCCCATCCGTGATACACGGTGATTGCTGGGTGCTGGCGTGGAATGACAGCCGAGGCCGTGAATGGAGGTGCAGGTAGGGCCCCCTACCCGAAACTGCAAAATCGTGTATATATACGTGATTTTGCGCACCCCTGCCGCCCTGTAGCAGTATTTCTGCTTTAGGGCGGTGGGAAAGCGGTTAATCCTTACGCTGCTAACATTAGTAAATAGGAAAGTATATCATATTTACTTTTTTTTTACAATTCTTCAGTATATTCCTGGTTTCCATGCCTAGGCAAATGATGTCATACATCCCAGCAGTCTTCAAGAGGGGAGGGAGGGTCCTCAGCTCAGCCTATGCCTGAGCTAAGGGTAGATGAATTCCAGGAAGTAAATGCTACTAGGGGGAAGTTTTTAAAAATGATTTCTTCGCAAAATAATGTATGGAGACATAAATGTATGGGTGAGTTTTCTTTGAATATTAAAAATGAATTAAATAGCAATTTTGGTTTGTGGTGCTCAGATGCAGTGTAGTTCCACTTTAAAGTGATTGTTCACCCTCACTTTGTAAAACAACCCATTCAGTTTAAAATAGAAATAAAAGGCAAAACATTTGTGTATAGATATAAAAAAAAAATTTATAAATACCTTTTTTCCCTTTTATAAGTGATCACATTCCCTCTGTTCTCAGCTGCATAGAAGCTGGGAGAAGAGAAACAGTAGCACATCTTCGCAGTGAAAGGCTGTGCAGGGGTGTGTGTCAGGACAATTCTGATCATTGGAGGAAAGCAGACTGAGTTTCCAGCATAGCTAGAAAACTGACCACACTGTACTCTCGTGTCTAGTGCGGTCAGTTTTTTAGTAGGAAAGTAGAGGGACTGGCAGGAACACCAGGGATTTCACACAAAGGAAGCAATACAAAGAGAACAGGGTATTTTTTCAAACAAATACATAGCACAGCAGGCACATGTTAGAAATCTGAAATGTTGGGTTTACATATCCTTTAAAGCTGAGGAGGAAAGGACATCCTCCAGCCAGGCCCTACCTGAATTTCAGTGAAAGTACAATAAGCATTTTCAGTACAGGATTGCTGGCTGTACAACTGTGCCAGACTAAAGGTAAAGCTGGAGTTCAGTTTTAACCTCTTTCCATCCGGCCCATGTACATAAATAGCCGGACAGCAGTAGTGCAGGGGAAGGTTGCTGTTTATAAATGGTGCCCGCATTCACAGCCTGTGCGCACTCCCTGGGAGCACATGGCACCGTTATCTGGTGCCCACTGTTTCCAGAGGACACACGGAACACCGATCGCTGTACGGGACCTCTCTGTGTGAGGTCCCATGATTCATGTGATCACTGGTTGGCCAATCAGTGATCACATGAATAGTAGTAAGCAAGATGTCACTTCTGACATCATTGCTTACTACTCTTGAAATCTGTGAATGATCACAGAGGTCACATGGTACAAGGCTATTCACAACAGCCTTGTACCATGTGACAAGCTGTGACCAATCACAGCTCTCACAGTATTTCTCAATGGCTGCAAGAATGCAGCCAGAGAGAAGGAGAAATGATTGCTTTTACAGCCTTTATGGATGTAAAAGCAATCAGTGTAAAAAATAAAAAAAAAATCTTCATCACTCCCCACAAGTAGTACAATGTCACCATGGTGACACTATACTGCTAGGGTGACAGTATGTTAAAAAAAAATAAACAAAAAAACATAAATAATAATATATAAAAAAAAAATTACATTTTTGTTTTAAAAATTATAATTTTTGGTTATAAACTAATTTGGGTTATTTTTTTTTACTAAAAATATAACTGAATAAATTTTGGTCAAGATTTATGAAGAAAGATTATTTATTTGCAAAGTTTTATTAAAAAAAAAAAACACTTTTTTTTCCCAAATTTTTGGACTTATTCATTTATATAGCAAAAAAATAAAAATCTCAGTGATGAATAAATACCACCAAAATAAAGTTTTATCTGTCTCCAAAAATGCTAAAAAATTCATATGGGTACAGTGTTGCATGACCACAGAATTGTCATTCAAAGTGTGATAGCGCTGAAAGCTGAAAATTGGCCTGGGCAGGAAGGGGGTGAAAGTGTCCGGACTTGAAGTGGTTAAAGGGATGTTAGGATAAGGGGCGCAAAATGTGCACTGATCAAGATTCCATTAGACAAACCCTAATACTTAAAGCCATTGATCTTTAGAGACACTCAGGACTCTTGAACAGCATATCTTCACATTATGGTGCACTTACCTCCTAAAGTGTCCTCCTCCAGCGATATGACACCCAGCTTTCCCAAATCTTTAGTAATCATTATGAGTATGATAAGCGCTCTGAATGTTTTCTATAAGCTCTTGAAATCACCCGCATGCTGTCTGCATTCACAGGTCAATTTGCGGTGCGGGTGAGACAGACGGAAGCTTCGACTCGGTGTGGTCTCTCTGGTGTGTACACACTTGTAGCAGAAAGCAAATGCCTGTTGCTGCGAGACCGTCAGGTGGGCAATCTCCTATACAGCTGGCCTTATCCATATCTAAGAAGATTTGGGAGAGACAAGGTAAATAGTTCATTCTTTTTAAAGCAACTACATTATGGCAGAAGGGGAAGTTCCAGTTTAATTCCTTGTCCCCCGCTCTCCATTAAGGATTGGCACCTTTGGGGAGTGGGGGGTGAGTAGACACTTGAATTTGACAGGTACCCGCTCCCACATCCAGTGCGATCGCCTAAGGCAATCAGAAACGGAAGTTGTCCTCCCCCCTCCCTCCCTGTAGTCTTCTGGGACACATGACAGGTCCCAGAAGTCTACGGGGCCATTCACAAAGCGCAGTGCTACTTGTGCATTTGCAGTGGGAACCCAGCTGTGAAGCCGCAAGCTTTCACAGCCGGGTGTGCACACTAAGGATGCCAGCGCCGAGGACAGAAGACGGCCAGTGAAATCAGCTGTGGTGAGGACACCGCTGGACCGAGGGACAGGTAAGTGTCTGTACAGTTTTTGTAGCTGTTGACTTTTATTTTTTTTTAGTCAACTGGAACTCTGCTTTAAGTAAAACCAGCTTGTCTATACATGGATCGAAATTCATCCAGTCCCTGCCGAACCAGTCAAATTTTGATCCATGTTTGACTGGCTTTACAGTTAAATGATACCCATAGACATGTGCTTTTCCTTTAGTAACAAATCGATTTTCGGATAAAAATTTGATTTTCGAAGAATAGGAGTGCATAGTGAATACCAATAAATCTGAAAAAAGTTATAATGAAATTAATAAATGCATTTGTTTCATTTGGATGATGTTACATGATGTGTTAGTAGTGCGGGCCCATGGGGAACTGAATTCAATTTTCAAATTCGTTTGATAATTCAGATTTGAGTAAATTTGTGATTTTAATTGAATTTGTATTGTCACAGTCAGTTCAGTTCCACAGTCTAATGCAATTCTTAGGTTTGAAAAAGTGTATTCCGTTGCATCCGAAATGATTGAATTCTTCCAAATAGTTTTCGATATACTGTATGAATATCAAAACCACCCGAAATATATAGCAATCTTCTGAAAGATACTGCAAACTTTTTCAAATCCACCTGGATCTAACATATATAGTGAAACAAAATTCTTCAATGAACGAATGCAATGAAGCGAATAACCGGTGTGCACATGTCTAGATACCCAGCTCCACCAGTCTGGAAGAGTGAGAACATAGTGTGAGAACATAGTGAGAGCCTCTTGGGTTGGTCTCCTGTTAGAACATCACCACTGTGCCCTGCATTCACTGTTTAATGGTGTGCAGAGTGTTGCTGATGTCATCAGGTCAGTGTTACTGTTAAATATGATTTAAACTGATATCTTATAGACTTTGAGACATACCTTTTAAGGATGAAAGCATTTCCCTTCTTGCAAAAAAATTAATGTGTTTAATAACAAAAACAAACTACCACAGATAAATAACAAAATGCAGATTATAAAATAATAATGTTAAGCAGTATAATTATTAAAAAACGTATTGTCCTTTCTAACTGACCAATAAAAAATGAGGATGGGGGAGGTACTGTTCCTCACTTTAACACATTAGAATTTAACTTTAGGATCAAATTAATCAAACAATATTTCATATACCAATATAGTTATACATAATGTAATGTTCTTGAATGCCCTCCTCAAAAAACTCCACTCTCTTGGCCTCTCTCCTGGTTCTCCTCCTACCTATCACAGCGCACTTCAGCATTACCTATAACTCTGTCTCCTCCTCTCCTCTTCCTCTAGGGATCCCTCAAGGTTCTGTCCTTGGACCCCTTCTCTTCTCCATCTACACCTCCTCCCTTGGTCACTTGATAAACTGCCATGGCTTTAAGTACCATCTCTATGCTAATGACACACAAATCTATCTTTCTATTCCTCACCTCACCCCTTCAATCTCCTCTCGCATTACTAACCTACTAAGTGACATATCAGCATGGATGTATCACATACCTGGTGATGGAGGCCAATGGAGAGAGGGCTTCCTTTGCGGCTAAGTTCCGGACTCCCCTGAGAGTGGGACAGCGGGAGTCAGGCCCAAAGTTGCACAGGTCGCCTGTAGGAGTGCTGGTTGGTGGTCCACTCAGAAGCACAGCTGGTACACGGAGATAGGTCTGCAGACAGGAGGTGCCTGTGTGTGGTATGCAAGCCCTTCTGGGATTTAGATGTTTACTGGGTAGTCGGTTCAAGCCAAGGTCAGGTACCAAATAGGAATCAGAGCAGACGTAGTCAGATGGGATAGCCGAGGTCACACAGGGGAGTGAGAGAGAAAGTATCCGTAAGCCAGGACGAGGTCAGATCAGGGGTAAGGCAGAGTAGACAGGTCCAGGAGCAAGCCGAGTCGGTAACAGGAAATCACGGGTCAAAGTCACAGGGAACAGGGCACGGGGAGCTAGAGATCATCCAGCAACTTGAGGAAGTGATGAGCCTCCTTATAAAGGCCGTCTGGCACCAAACTGAGGCTGATGTATCCTTCTGTGGCCATGCAGAGTACTGGCAGAAATGCCAGATCTTCCAGAACGTCTGCCTTGTACAGGACCCTGACAGAATGTCTCTCCACTTCCTCAGACTCAATCTTTCCAAAATGGAGCTCATACTATTCCCTCCAGCCCTGCCCCATCCCCTGACTTCTCCATCAAGATCAATAATACAACCATCAGTCCCTCCCCTCATGCCAGGATACCAGGTGTAATCCTGGACTCCCATCTGTCCTTTCAGCTCCAAATCCAATCACTGTCCAAATCTTGTAGACTTCACCTCCTGAACATCTCCAAGATACGACCGTTCCTAACCTCTGAAACCACTAAGCAACTTATTCACTTCCTTGTTATCTCTCGACTTGACTATTGTAACTCCCTACTCATTGGCCTACCTCATCGCAGGCTATCCCCACTTCAGTCTATCACAAATGCTGCTGCCAGACTCATCCACCTTACTAAACTTTCCAGATCTGCCATCCCTCTCTGCCAATCCCTCCAATGGCTTCCCATTGCTCAACGAATAAAATTCAAAACATTAACCATAACATAGAAAGCCATTTATAACTCTGCCCCAAATTACATCATCAATCTTGCCTCCAAATACCACCCAAACCATCCTCTCCCCTCCTCCCATGACCTCCTGCTCTCTAGCACCCTTGTCTCCTCCTCTCATGCTCATCTCCAGGACTTCTCCAGAGCCACCCCATCCTCTTGAACTCTCTACCCCAATCTATCCGACTATTGCCTACTCTTCCCACTTTTAGGCGATCTCTGAAAATCTCATCAGGGATGCCTAGCCTGCCTTCAACTAATAACAAAATCTTCTTTTTCTCCTATCAGGTCATCCTCCACAGTTATTACCTTTTGTACCACCAGCCCCTCCCTATTAGATTGTAAGGTCCAAAAAGCAGGGCCCTCCTAACCCTCTTGTATTGAACTGTATTGTTGCTGTATTGTCTCCCTTTATATTGTAAAGCGCTGAGCAAACTGTTGGCGCTATATAAATCCTACATGATAATAATAATCAAGAAATTGAAAAAAAAAAATTAACAAGGAAAGCATTTATAAGTATATGCTTTATAAACTTTTCATTTCCCAGCTTTTCACAGCCTGCATAGCTACTTACAATAAGAAGAAAAACCATCAACAACTCTGTGAATCCAGTTCAGGCTTTTGATATTTTAAGTTCCTTTTTCCTGACATTATAAAATAAGGACAATTTTATTTTGAAGTAGGAATGATGGTGATGGTTAAAGATCAAATTCACTAGCATATTCTTCTTTCTTCACCAACAGACTATGTTTTCATTTGAAGCTGGTCGTCGTTGTACTTCTGGAGAGGGAAACTTTGAATTTGAGACATCCTTTGGAAGTCAGATCTTCCAGGCCATTGAAAGTGCTATTAAAACTGGTCACAATGATGCCTCCTCACCAACTGGCCATGAACAACACCATGAGGAACTTTCCGCTGTGCCAAGGCAACCTGCCCGCTCTGCTTCTCTGATTGTAGCTCCTTCACCCCAACCCTTGTGTCCTCAGAACAAGGTGCCCACTAACCCCACCATTCCAGAGAGCGAGTATGCTGTTCCTTTTGATAAAGTGGCTCAAAACCTCTTAGCCACGGGATTTGGTGGTCTTCTTGGTCCATCAGCACAGAAGAAACCAAGAAAACCTCAGAAGCCTGAGCATATCTATGACGAACCAGAAGTTCCTGTTAATCCAGTGTATGATGAGCCAGAGGGCATTAGGGTGGATGCCTGGAAAATTCAAGCTACTGATGCCCATGAAATGGGCTATGAATATCCTTATTTACCAGGATGGGATGATTATGCAGTGCCCAGAAGTGGAGGAAAAATGGAAGGTGGAAGAGGCCAGGACGATGAAGATGAGTGGGGAACACAGGCAAGAGGGGAAAGGGAATATGACAACATTACATTACGTGGAGTTCTGGACAGCTAAGGGGAAAGACTTTTTTTTTTCCTGCTACAGAATGTTCCAGTCTCATATATGGAATATCTCATTATTGACTGAACAAAGACTGCTGGTCGCTGACTCTGATTTAGACCACAATACCACAATACAAACTGCATCTATTAAAGCAAAGTATTGTAGTCCTTAGATGTTGTTGCTACAATTATTTTCCTTTTACAGGCTTTTTCTTTTTTTTTTTTTAGCTGGTGATCCTGCCAGTAACACACTTCCTGACCTAGAGTGACTTTGATCTCCCACTCTACTGTACGTATGAAGGAGCAGTAGAGGACAGAACGTGTTTAGGACAAGAGAACACCTCCCACTTCTCTTCTACAGAACATAGGGAGACAATGTTATATGTCCACAGAGAGCTCAGAACAAGGTTAACCGATAACAGTCAGCAGAAACATAGCACACAGGAAGTGATCAGTTCACGGTATTTCTGGCAGGAATATGTTTTTTTGGCATATTAATGGCATATTTTACAGATCAAAAGACAGAAAATAAAGCTGACCATACACTGCAAATTTTGGTCTGTTCTTGAGGTACTGGCTGAAATTCGCTCAGTGGGTGGTCCTGCCTGCACCACTCTGACAAAAGTCAATCTAATGATCAAATTTTGTTGAACAAAGTAGCCAGCTGGAAATTTTTCCATCGAACAGCAACTGCATCTGATGTACAAGTACAGGTACAGATGCAGCTCTATGCCCCTACCTTAATATAGGCCCTGCCGACCAAAAAACAGGATGTGCACAGAAAGGAATGGGCCGACGGCAGGGACGTAGATAAGGGGGGGGGGGGGGGGGGGGTGGTCTGAAACTCCCCAGAGTAGAGTTACTAACCAGCCCAGCTTACACTGGTCCGAGTGCACTTTGTGCGGTAACATCATAGCACTTTGCAGCTTTTCCATCAATTTGAAGTATACTGCAAGGAGAGGGAGATGGATGATGAGAGGAGGATCCCATCTTGAGTGCCCTGGCCTGCACAAGACAATCTACTGTTACAAAGGTCAGTGCCTGACTTCTCCATGCCACAGAGAGAATGCCTCGCAATCTGCTGAACAAAGTCCGTAGAGGGTCACTGATGTAAAGGGAGAGTATGAACCCTAAGGTAAAAGGGGACACTGATATAAAGGTTCTCCCTTATATCAGTGTCCCTCCTTACACAGTGTATTCACTTTGCGGATGCTAATGTAGGGGGGGGGGGCTGTGGTGACCAGAGACCCCCTTACCTCTGAATTCCCCTTTACACCTGAGTTTGCAGTGTTTCCCTTTACATCAGGGTCTGCAGAGTTCCCTCTTGCCCTGTAAGGGCAAGATGTAATGAGAAAACTCTGGAGACTCTGATGTAAGGGGGGATTCTAATATAAGGGGGGACACTGTAGACTCTCATGCAAGAGGAACTCTGCAGATCCTGATGTAAAGGGGAACGCTGTGGACTGTGATGTAAAGGGGAATTCTTCAGACTCTGATATAAGGTGGTACTCTGCAAACAATGATTTAAGGTGGGGGGAGGCTTTGGTGACCAGAGACCCCCTTACATCAGAGTTTCTCTTTACTCCAGAGTCTACAGTGTTTCCCCTTACATTATGGTCCACAGGGTTCTCCTTTACATCAGGGTCTGCAGAGTTCCCCCCTGCTGCACCAAAGGGAAAACCTGCGGACTCTGATGTAAAGGGGAACTTTGGGGACTCTGATGTAAGGGGGGCTCTGAGAACTCTGATGTAAGGGGGAACTCTGTGGACTCTGATGTAAAGGGGAACTTTCCATAAAAAAGCCCACCAAAATCCTCAGCACCAGGCCCATGATGCTCTTAATCCAGCCCTGGGTACAATAGGGTACAATAGCCACAGTGGAAAATTCGACAATCCAAGCTGTATAGTGTGGTTTGAGTAGTTGGTTAGTTATACTGTGTATGGCCAGCTTAAGGGAAAATCATTGTTAGCATTTATACATACCCTGGAATGTTTCCAGACTTAAAAAGAAAGAGTTTACATGTGATAGCCCCAGTTACCCTCTAATATGATATGAGATATTATGAGCACATATGCTTACTATTATGCTGAATTACATGAGCACCTAAGACCACCACTTACGTTATCAATGAATGACAGTAATCATGCTTTACTGTAATTATGAATATTGTCTTATTATTTCATTTCACCATTAAAATCTTGTGCAAAACCACATTATGGTGGATAAACATGAATGTTTTTATTTTCTGTAATGGAAGAAAGTCTGAAAACTAGTTTGGTAGTATGGGAAAAGATGTTCTTCTCACTCAGGGCTTGTTCACACTGCGCACCTTTCAATGCTGTGTAGGCATTGCATTCTCTGATATCTCTCCTGCCTCAGCACTATAGCTGACCATACATTGTGCCAAATTTTGGCTGGTTCCTGATGAACTGGCCAAAATTTGTTCTGTGGGTGGCCTTGCCGACCTTGCTTTGTTTGATAAAAGGATCGCTGATCGGCTTTTGTCAAAGAAGCCTGCTGGAAAATTTTTGGATGTACAGTGGCTGCATCTAGCCACGGTATAGTGTGGATGAGTGAATCTGTTAGATCAGTGTATGGCCAGCTTAGGTTCTCTGGAAGCCCCCTCCTCTATGTCCACACCATGCTCCCTGGCAACTCCCCATCCTCTATGTTCTCTCAGGCCCGGATCTAGGGGGGTGCTGGGGTGGGCTATGCCCCCCCAGATTTTAGTTGTGCACCCCCACAGTTCTGAGAATGAATTCACAAATCCATGAGACCTGATGGGGACAGTTGATGTAAGGAGCACTCTGATGCGGACACCTGATGTAAGAGGACACTCTTATGGGGACAGTTGATGTAAGGGGGCACTCTGATGGGGACAGTTGATGTAAGGTTGACTCTGATGGGGACAGTTGATGTAAGGGGCACTCTGATGGGGATAGTTGATGTAAGGGGACGCTCTGATGGGGACAGTTGATGTAAGGGGCACTCTGATGGGGACAGTTGATGTAAGGGGACACTCTGATGGGGACACCTGATGTAAGGAGGGACTGTTATAAGAAGTTTGATTTAAGGAGGAATATTTTTAAAATATTGTTGCAATTTTCATGCGTCAAATTAAGAATGACAATGCACAAGTTCTATGTGTTGTGTCGCCTGTGCCACTTGAAAAGTGATATGCATCAGTATTTATTAATGTCCGATTGGGTGAGCCAAAATAATCAAGCACTTGCATCAATGTTCTCAGTCAAAATTTGTTCTACAATATACACCATTACCACAGTGGTATAAATACTGTAATAAGGAGAGTTAAACAGTACAGAGCAGGAATGGAGAGGAAAGGTGGATGCATATGAATGGACAGAGCACCACTATCATACAACAAACAAATTAATTTTTGTGAGACCGTTTTAATCTTTCGATGCATATTACTCAAAATAAGTGTGTATATAGAAATTGGTGCATGCATCTCCATGCGGCAATCTTTGTTCATCCTTCCATTTATTTTCTAGAGGCCCCTTCACCGCCACTGTTTGCATGATGTAGACACATCCTATTGGCTGTCCAGTACAAGGTTGAGAAAAATCCAGGAATCAGAAAAAAGTGTGCAGATAATGATGTTAGCAATAGGGCACCGTTGGGGACCTCCGATGTGGGCACATCTGCATTAGTGGTCCCCTGTACCCAGAAATAGAACCAGTGATGAACCCAGATGATGGACTTTAACAATGAGCCCTGTAGATGCTGTCTTGTTGCAACTTTTGAGACACAGTGTCTCTGGCATTATATCCTTCTCATTCTTCACAATGCTATCTTTTCCATAGTTTATTGTCCCTTGGCTACCATAGTAGAGACAAACTCCCAAGCAGATATTAAATACCACCTGACATTCCCTATATATATATATAGAACACTTGCACTTGCTAAGTCTTGCCTTCCCACTAAGACTACTCCTTAGATTAACTCCCACCCCTTGTCATAAGTGCGTCATGTCTGCAGGGCTGCTGAAAAGGCAGTACAGCTGGCCTTCCCGTACTGGGCCTGGGCCCCATCAGTTCAAAAGTGGGGCCTGGGCACCTGCTGAGGAGGAGGGTCGGCTGTAAAGCCTTATTGAAGAAACTGATCCTCTTGTACCTGTGCTGCAGGGGGATCAGCTCTAGTATCTGTGCTCCCACCCCCTCATGGGGGGGGCCTAGTTCGGTAGGTTGTACGATGGCCCTGTGATTTCTAACAGCGGCCCTGCATGCCTGCACCATGACTTCACACATCAAGACAAATGACAGGTTATACAAGACCACTAGCTCCATTACCTCCTTCTCTGCTTCCTCTCTCTTCACTGTCTTGTCCATGACCAGGTCCCCTTGATGGCGTGAACATGATCTGATCCCATCCATCACTCAGCATCCTCAATTCCCTGGCCATGATCAATTTTTGTTCTACTTCCTTTCCCTTGGCCCTTTGTCCCCAACCAATGCTCAACCAAAACCTACCTGTTCTCTCAATGGTCCGCAATCAGTTCATGTTCAGTCCCCTCTATCACCTGTCCTTGATCATATCCTACTGTCCTTTCTCTCTTCCTCTTGGCCACAATTGTGATGATCCCATGATCGCTGCCACCAATATGTGACGATCCCACGATTGCTGCCACCAATATGTGACGAAACGTGGCGTCAGACCCCAGCCCTTCTCACCAAACTCGTGACCGAAGGACTAGCCAATCTAAAACCACGATGTCATGTGCATAACAATGCCACACCCAGCTGCACCCTGCACAACGATGTTCCAGCTAATTGGACCACAATCTATGTACCGGCAGCCTGAATGCGATTGTTACTGGGTCAGGTTAATTTTGCAATTAACCCTTCACACTGCCACCACCTCCTTTTTGTACAGAGAAAGAGGAAACTCTGCGATATCAGCTATAACACTATAATGGTTGAGATAATCGTCTGTATAACACGGTCACCGCAGGCCGGTTATACAGAGGGTTAAACAAACACAGTAGCGCTCTTTTAGAGGCAGGAATTCGTAAATTGCAATAAAGAGCTATAGAAACAGTTCAGCACTTTCAGAAGGAAAGATTTATTACTAAAAGGTCAAACAGGTGCAATAAAAATATTTACAGAAAAAAGATGTAACCAATATATATATATATATATATATATATATATATATATATATATATATATATACAGAGAGCAACAGCACAGCAAAGAGATAACAGAGAAAAGGTAGAGGGTTAAAGTACTTGCCAAAGTCCTGGGTTAGCAGATCAAGTTTCAGAGCGAAAGGGTGGTCTCCCAAGTTGGTTCTGATGTTAAATGGGAGAATTCTTCAACTTAACTGTCTTAGGCCTGACAGCTCATTTTGAGGTTCCCCAGCAGGGGGTGTCTCTGAAGTCAAGGACCAATACCCCGTTTAGGGCGGGAAGGTCTGGGCGTAGACCTAAACTAGAGCCAATATCTCTTGTAGTTCATATTTTGGCTCATAACTTTCCATATGCACAAGTGACACTCCACACGCGGGTAGATTATTATGCAGACACGCCTGAGGATTGATTAGATATGAAATATGAAATTCTACACTCAATGGTTCACAAAATCTACTTTTCTGCTTTTCTATGTATTCCAGCCTAAGGAGACTGACCTATCAAACTCTTTGTCTCCTCTTGGCCAATCTGACGATATGCCTGGTTTTTATGTAAGTCTCTCATATTCCAAGATATGAGACATAGAGGAAAAATGGATTTTAAAAAGTGTTTATCTGGTTCTTGCTTTGTTGGAATGCCTTGAACTCCTGGAAAGGCTTGCGTTATCTCTTACGAGGTGTGATATTGCACAGCTCTCTCAGACAACCAGGCACCTCGAGGCTCCCTGCTGGGCTCTGGCCTGCCTGCAACACTTCCAACACACATATGTCCCTGTGGATTAACAGAGAGGGAAGGGGGAGAATGAGGGACAACATGGAGATTTCTTAACAAATGGAGGACTGCGTCAGTCTCTGGGTGTACGATTGCGACAACGATCATCTACTTTTTTCTGTCTCACTCTCAATCTGCCTAATTAGTTCACACACTACCTCTTCTCTCTTTTGTTCCTGGTCAGCTTCTACTTTTGTCTTCTCTCCATCTTTCATGGACAGCTGTCTCTTCTTTTATCTTTCCACTCCATGTAATAAATGACTACTACACTGCCTACTCTATGCCCACTGGTCCTTAACCACTCATTGTTCTGCCTCCTCTATCTTCCTTCTCCACCCCTGTGTTCAGCTCCCGTTCTGCCTCCTATTTCCACCCTCATGGTTCACGATTGGCTCATGTCCCCTGTGATAAATGCAGTGAGATAACACACTCAAAGCAAATACTATGTGTCCAGTTATTGTCTGACAGGGCACTTATGCATACCAGTGCGTTGATTCATTTAGAGACCAAAAATGAAGAAGGCAAAAATGAGATTAATGACTGATGTGCTGTCTGTTAGGGATGACTAGATCACATGACTGTCTGGACGCAATTACAAACCTTTTGGCTGGTAGGACCGCTTAATTATTTATTTATCTGTTTGCCTCCATTTTAGCTTTAAGCCCTGGTTTATGCCGCTGCGACTTCAGGTGCAAAATGACATTTACAAATGCACCTAAAGTTGCATGTAATGTATTTCTATGGCACTGTCTTAACTCATTACTCAGTTACTCCGTTTGTTTTGAAGTAGCGCTATTTCAAAAAAAGTTCCTGCACTACTTTTTTATGATTTCATTGCGACTTGCATTGACTTCTGTTAAATGAAGTCTCATGCCGCATTGAAATCGGAGGTACAAATCACACTGATCTGCAGCTTTGAAATCACGCTACTTCAAGTGAAGTAATGTGATTTCAAAGTCGCATTTAGTGCGAACCGGGGTTAAAGGTTTGTTGAAAATGTATCACAGTTTTCTAGCAATAAATCAGACTTAACTATACAGGTTATGGTGAGAAAGGACTAATAAGCAACCTGTATATAAGGGTATAACCAGGGGCGGACTGACAACTCATGGGGCCCCCGGGCAATAGGGGATCATGGGGCCCCTGTGTCCTTGCCCAAACTCAAAAAAGCCTATGAAAAAGGTACCAGGGCTATCTCATGGGGCCCCCTACTGACCCCGGGCCCTCAGGCAGTGCCCGAGTTTCCAAATGGTCAGTCCGCCCCTGGGTATAACTACACTTGGCTTGACAGCCAGATTTGTTTTGACAATACACAAACTATTAAAGCGTAAGTACACTTTTGTTAAGAAAAAAACATTCCTTTCTGGGTGATCAATGTACATTTCAAGGATATTAACAAACCATGTTGCAGATTCCTACCTTTTGTTCTTCTGAAGAAGTAGCTGTTGTTTCTGTGTCCATGTACAGGATGAATCTATATGGGAGTGACTTATTAGTTATCTATCAGATGCTGCACCTGAAGGGCTCTAATGGGAAAACTGGCAAGGTCTGCCTCCCTTTAGACGCGATTTCCTTTTGGAAATATCTTAGCAAAAATGAAATTTGTGTTGCAAGGGATACCAAAACTGGTACTGCAGACTTTTGGGAAAATCAGTAAACCAATCACTCAAGCAGGAAATGACATTTTCAGGGGGTATTATGTACACCATCTGTGTACAGAATGTCTCCACGTAGCTATAGTGCATTACATTTTACAGACAATTAGAGTGCTGCAGAGTGAAAAGGAAATCTTAATTTTTAATAACATTCAATTACAATATGACTTGATTTGCAATTGTATATGCTACATTGGTTTTTTGTATTGTTTGCTCATTTTTGTTTCTCCCATGAAAGTGGAGCTACCCTTTAAACAAACCTGAGACAAAAAAAAAAAAAGAAGAGACAGTGCAACCCTGCATTACTCCCCTGTAGAGCACCCAAAAACCTCTAAATCCTTGGCCACCCTTGAAAAGGACCAGCTTCTATTTTTGATGGCTCTGACATCCTACTCTCCCCCATATCCTACTGCATTATCATTAACCCATAATTGTGATGGGTGACCTCACTAGCCAATAAATAATGGAAAAAGCAGGAAGGGGCAGATCAGGAC